ATCCAAGATCACATTTGAGAAAATCACATACAAGAAGATAACATTCAAGATAGTACTCAAGATCACATTCAAGATCAAATTCATGGTCGCACTGAAGATCACATTCAAGATCACATCCAAGGTGTTCAATCAGAAGCGGAGAAAATTGTGCAGACAGTGAATAACTTTTTGATCCGTTTGCTGACACGAGAACCGCACCTGCTACGATTACATCAGATAGAATGTCGCCCTGCGAATATCAGCTTTTTGCAATAATAAATACATGATCAACATATCTTAGTAGGCGCAAGATAGAAGTTGACTAGAAGTTAACAACTACTGCATCTAAGCAGACTTTAGTGACTGTACTGCTACTCAACAATAATGCCCGGGAAGAGATGTAAATATTTCTGCACTGGACATATATTCCTTTAGAATAATGGACAAATTTGTCACCGGGACATTTTGCCAAAGACTTCGTTGACAAGTATTACTGTGTAAACAATAACAACGTCTAAGCAGCATTCAACAGCCACCAAAACGATATGTCGATGGTTACCAAATATATCAGCATGGGAGCAAGATTTGGTGACAATAGAAGAGATAGATGAGCCGTATAAACGCCACGCCAAGTATGTTGATCAGATAAGAAATATAGATCCGTTGGACATGACCCTGGTGTACACCATCATGGCAGCTGCTGCAAAGCGCTCGGAAGGACGAGCTCGGCAAGAAGTTATACGAGCTGTGGTAAGGTTTGAAATCCAATTTTTTGAGCTTCTATTTGGGATAGTCAAAATGTGGATGTAGTTCTCGAGTGTTTTGTGCTTTGAAGCTAGCGTATAGCCTGTAATTATGTACTCTTATGCGAAAGACTCCGATTGCTTGTCTAATTTTGAAGCTGTATCATTTACATACACCCCTCACAATGAAAAAAAAGTACGGAATAATTTGAAAGAAGCTGGTGGTAAACTATATCGACTAACGTATGTTTTATAAGAATTTCTACTGAATAGAACTAGCAGTATTGAGATTTAAAAAATCCGTGATCTCGAAAGTATCATGAAAGAAAACATTGTATGTTTTATGTACATTTAATATTAAATACATGATGATTATGCAAAGCGAGTCGTATCTATGTATTTATACATAATGACCACACACTCGTACATTTGATTATATTTATATGATGATGATTATATAAAACGAGCTACAACAACAACTGCATTTTTTAAATATCATGTATATGTACAATAATAAAAAGAACTAACTAAAAAAATAATGCTTTCATCAATTCTATGTAATTGAAATTATAGATATGTCTTTTTGTTATCTTGCCTTGTGCGTGTCGGATTTATTCATACATTCCAGTCTGGCCTTCCCCATCCTCTTCCATCTACTTCACCTACTATATGTGTCATACCAGGTAATGTAGCAGATTTGGACACTAAGGCCGAATATTATCCCTAAGGCCGCAATATGTGTTTTTTTACTCAAATCTATCTCATCACGTATAACGTATGTCTGAAAACCCCTCACACGCTTGTAATATTACTCTGTAACAGTCCCGGTCTATCCTTTGTTTCTAACACTATACTCTGATGTATTACTTTTACTACTTCTGCGCCCTTCAAATATATCACTCACGCCAATATTTACATTATTAAACTCAGATCGATAGCGATGATCAAAGATTACTTGGCAATTCACTCCAAGGGCCATCTAATGGCCAGAGAATAAGACAAAAAATCCATCTACTGCTTCTACAAAGTGAGCAATGACTCCAAATGTTGATACTTGACTGAATCCTTTGGCTATATCCTTGCACTTTTGTGTAGTAGTGGGCTAAAACCCTAAAAGCCCTACTGACCTCGTTGATTGCACGCGTTACTCGTTTAAATATTGCATATACAGTACTTTTTATGCATTACATGTGTGCACTTGAGATCTGCTACTTCTCTCCCCGCTAACCTACGTAAAATTAGATATAATTGAACCCCAACATCGATGCTTCCGTTCCTCAGGCTTCCCATGACATCATCGCGTCCACACATAGGTGTGATAGCTTGTTTTAAAACTAAAACCAGAGGTAAGCTTATGCGCATGTCAACATGGAAATAGTTCGTTTATAGCATGTGTCCAGCGATCTCATCGAGCGATGGCTGAAACCAATACACAAGTGATCCTCTAGGCACCATATTTGATTGTTCTAGAACAGGAATGATGTTTGTTAGTACCGTTAATATTGTAGTTATTATCATAGTGGTTGTAATATTATCCTCACTTTCGGAGTCTTTGTCACTACTTGATTCACTATCCTCCTCCTTATCAATACTACTTGTTTTAATGCTTTTCTCCTCCATTGTATGCAAAATATTGCTAAGCACATCACTAGCACTGGATGTATCCTCATTGATGGCATTAGCCAATCGATGTCTCGATGCTGCTCAGCCTTAATTTGCCCTATTATTGATATTATACCGAAAATTTGCTTCAACCCATTAGACTCGGCCTGACTGTCATAGCCTTATAGGCCATGTATTTTGGTCATAGCCTTCTGGGCGGATACTGTTCCTAAAACTGTTCCTAAAGAACACAAAAAGGCTCTCGCCTCACGGAGTCATGGCTCTCGAGCCTCTCTCACTCTCGCCGGGCTCACTAGATATTATTTCTAATTAAATAGTCACTTGCAAGTTGCCACTTGCCAGTCCAGTCGCCAGTCTCGAGTCCCAACAGGTGAACAGAACCCTCCAGAGCCCGGGGCTGCAGCCTGTAGTCCTGCAGTCCTGCTCTGTGTCTCATGGCTGCCTGTGTTAGGACTCAGTAGTCAGGACACAGGGGTCAGGACATCAGGACTCCGTTCTGGCCTAGGCTTGAGTAAATCTGAGTTGAGTCTGAGATTCTTGAGACCATTTCTTTCAAAACCAAAACCGGGTGGGTACATACAAAGTATTTACAAAGTACGAACTACAAAGTAAATACAAACTACAAAAAAAAAAAAAAGAGAGTGAGACTGGGGTGTAAGACTAAGAGTTAAATATTTTAGATAGAGAAAGCACTATGATGTACTGTATTTACCTTTGAGGAATGAGAATTGGGGCAATATGTACCCGTCAGTCCGTTCATAGACGTCAGCCACCTCAATACGTTTACATTTCAATAAGTATACGTTAAAAGATAAACTTTTATATTTGGGGGCATATTCAAGGTCCGATAGTCAGACCTGTTTTAGTTCTCCACATCAGCCAATCAATATGTCAGTCAGACGTCAGTTGCTAAAGTTGACATATACCTATCGCTATTTACATAGCAAAAAAGTAACAGGTAATCTTTAGAAATTCCTCCGAAGCCAAACGGCCGCCGACGGGTAAAAAAGAACTTTTGTCTTTCTACATAGAGGGGCCCTACCCCGGCCCGCCGGGCTCGTATGAATTTTCCTATTTTGGACTGTGTATTTACATATTTAAGTTGTGAACAGGCCCAGATATTTACGAATCGCCTTTATTTACTTTCCTCAGACGAATAAACGTTAAAAAAGTATGTATGTATGTATTCCCAAAAAGCCTGAGAGGCTGAGAACCATGCCACAGAAGAATAAACGTTTAAAGAAAGTTTGTATATATTCGCAAGAAACCTGAGAGGCTGAGAAAAATGTAACGTATATACGCCTATACCGGGCTACACAATGTAAATATATGCCTGTGCGAGACATATATCGGGCTGTCGCGCCTGTCGGCCAGCAGATTGAAACGTTAAAAAAAGTATTGAAAAAATGCCCTAAACCTAAGGCGAATCCCGAAGATAGGAAATCAGTAATGGGAAATTGAGAATTTACAGTACGAAACTTTGGACACGTCAGTGTTATACGGACCTATCGCTTTTATTCAATTTTGAAACATATTTTCTACCATTCCTTTTCTATGGACTCAAGGAGTCGTCAGTCGGGACTCACAGATAGAGAGTATTTAGGTCACAGTCATCCCGCATCCGTCTTGATATATATCGTTATATAATTATATATTAAGAAAAAAAAAATGTATTATCTAAACTCGAAATGTATGTTTCAGAAAACTTGAAAAGAATGCTGGTTATTTTTTTTATAGGTATATATTGAAGTTTTGAACTATTAACCATTTGTCCCCCTCGGTCTCGGAGAACGGGGAGTCGGATGCTAAAGAGCTAAAGAGTGGCGACTCGGAGTCTTAGAGTCTACTATTAGGTCTCTTGGACTGCTTCTATTTTTAATATTTACAATATTTACATGGCGGGCAGATGGAGTCGTGGTCTGATGAGAGGAATTAGAGGAATGAGGCAGTCAGTGGCAGTGACTCAAGGCCAAGGAAACTATTTCTATGCACCTTTACTACTTTTTATTCGTTATCTATATTTAGTATATTCATAATTATTTAACCTTCATTGTACTGTGTAGTGACTAGACCTACTACTAGTGTCTGTAACTCACAGTGACTCTATGACGGTCTATGTATTATAATCAATATCAAGGCATAATGTAGTACTTCGCAATTTCTATGGTCCTACTCTACTACTACTAGAGCGAGGTAGTTTTCTGAAAATTGAATAGTTTGGTCTGTCCGACTTTGAATTTGACCGATTGCTGCATGACGTCATTAACTCATTGTGAAGAAAAATTGAGTATGTACTATAGACATGGCCCTTTGGATTTGAGTCTCGAGCAGAAATCAGGTTCCTTCCAACAAATCGTAAATTTTTAGCGCAGACTTAAATCCAGAAACCAGAGGCCAGAGGGCCATGCTAAAATCTAAATACAACATTCTATTTACAAATAACATTACTCATATTACTTAATGGTAAATTCATATGATATTGTTTTTAAATAAATAAAAATTTACCCTTCAATGGCCATAATTATTAAAATTTGATAATAAAAGGCTATAGGGCATAGGCCTTAGGGCCATAGACTCATATGTCCGGTATTAGGCCGTTTAAAAAAATGCTCTTTTAAAATATATATACGATTTTTATCTTTCTCTTTTTGTTTTCAAAATTAAAAGTCTTTATTTCTATTTCTTCATTTGTGTGGACACAAATAAATGAACAGAACATACTCAACATATTTAGCCAAATACTCTATACATATAAATGCATAGCCCCTAAAAAAGACAAAAGAGGCTATGATAAAATGCTTTGAACAGAACCATAAATGGCCTTTTTGTAAAAGTAGACTGTGACAGAACGCTACTTATTTTTTTTTTTGCATAAATGTATTCTAGCAATTATTAATCTACAAACTCTACTCTCTCGAGAGTAGAGAGCAGTAAAGAGAAGATGGCTTTTTTATAGTGAATAAGAGTATTTGTTTCATTTTTTTTTTAACATAATGAGTTTCTTAACTTAACAACTTACTGGGCGAATGACGAACTATTTTTATATCTCGAGAGAAAGGTAGGAGGATCGCATGATGAAGCATGTGAAGAAGAAAAAAATCCTGTTAGTTAAAAAAAAAGTATACAATTCGAATTTTAAAAGAATAGTGATTGTTTTATGAAATTCTAAAATTCTAAGAAAGGCCATTTATAAAGAGCTGATCGGTATTTTAGACCTAATATTTGCTTCACTGCAGTAACGAGACGCCGCGTGCGACAATGATGAATGAACCCGCCGAGACGGAAGATAAATATCTCAAGTTCTCAACACTCTATCTCCTCAACAACCCTATATACGGTCTCTACTAGTAGAGGCGGTAAATATGTACATTTCATAGTACATTTGTATTTATATACGTCTTGAGTTCTTGAATCTTGACACCTGTGAGGCAGTGCCCAGAGCAAGTGAGAGTAGAGAGACCACCCCAGTGACCCGCCATCGCGCATTGGAGGTCTTTCCTTTCTATTGCTCATTATTGTGTAAAACTTTAGATGACCGTTTCATAGTATTTAGTATTTTTTTTTGTTACGACTTCGTGGTATATATAAAAAAACCGTCTACGTTCGCAGCTATTATCTGAATGTACGCACCAGATATCCTTCGAAAACAATCAACCTCACCGTCCAGCGATATACAATGTTTATGATAAGCATAGTGTTTATTTTATTGGACTGATGTAATCTTTGCCTGAGCAAGAAGGGAGGATGTTTGCTACCAGTTTGTACATTACAGTTGGAGCAAGCTCTTGAGGATCATTATGTGAATATACCGGAATGCCCGGTAGTATATATATTGTCGACTTCACATGTATTAATACACTAAAAAGTTACGCAATCCTACAATTCAATACAATGTGGAAAAATGCTCTATGCAAGCCCGAATGTCGTGACCGCAGACAGTAATGGAACGGTTCGATAGGTACAGTATGCTACATACTGCATTAAGAAGACTGTGTTGAAGCCCATCTCCTATCAGAAAAATAAGAAGGCAAGGATTAATGTCAGTAGTCATTTTATGTATCGACATTCCCATGCATGGAATCGATGTGCGTGATAGGTGTCCGCTGTGCACATGGTTGTGCAGTAAAACATGTAAGTATGAACGTTGTTGACATGCTAATTTGGAATCAAACCTGAAACTTTTCGGGATCGATCAGTGTACGAGAATATGGTGCAGAGCTAGCGACGCGTAGCAAATATTAACGACAGAGCACATACGAACTCGAGCATAGTATATATATATATATATATATATACATAATATATATATATATCTAATATTACATATTATATATATATATATATATAGTGTGTGTGTGTGTGTGTGTAGTAATAATAGTATTATAACAATATAATAATAATATATATTATATATTACTACACACATACATATATATATATAATTATATATATATATATATATAATTATATATATATATATATATACAAAAATACACATATACATTACCCACTTCTATTTCAGAAACCATACTATGAATATGCTGCACTCTCATATTTCATCATTCACACAATAAATAGGCGAGAAAACCGTTGCTATACACCAGTACGCCTAGTGTAGCTCAACTCGGTCAAGAACAACTCGCAGACACCAGCGCTGTACTTGACCAGTGAATAGAGTATCTACTGTCAGATAATCGTACGTTTTATTCACATTATATATATATATGTCTTATGATTCAAATAGGATAAGGCAATCTCAATTCACGCTTATCGCGAGTATTTGAAAATATGCATTCCCGATCCTCGTCGATAAGACTAATAGTAGTCACCGAGATTTCCAGTTGAATTCACTCGTACTTTGAGAAAATATCCTAATCCGGCTGAATCTAAGTTCGCTTTGCAGCGTACTTTTTTAGCTCCTGCTTGCCGAGGGACATGCGATGTACCTCATCTGTTAAAATGAATTAGTAAAAGTTAGGCGGTTGCAAGGAAGAGAAAATACAAAAAAAAAATGGAATTATGTACAAGTGTACACATATACGGATGTATACTTACCAGGTCCGTCTGCGTATCGCAATGTTCGCGAGGCCATGAACAACTGAGCCATGGGGTAATCTGGGGTCAGACCAATACCTCCGTGCGCCTAGATGAGAAAATATATAAAAATAAAGACGTATCAGTCAGTATACGTAAAATAATTAATATGTATCAGTAAACGAACAGGAAACTATGATATACAGCAGACCACAATGACGCTTGCGCAAATTCCAACTCGGAATCGTACTGTACAAGTTGTGCTACGGCTTCTTGTCACTCTCCAAAAATTTAAGCGAATACTCATTCATACACCTACAATCAACCCGACCAAAACTTAAGCAAGAAACGTTGTCTTGTCAGAAGCCAAAGAACAGTACCTGCATGCAGCGGTCGATCACTGTCTGGGCCATTGTCGGTGCAACAATCTGTGAGAAGTAGGCGAGAAGCGATTTAAATCTTCAGCAAAATTGCATTTAAAAATGATATTTATACGTATGTGAATAGAATACTGATCTGTGTACGTTTATAGAATATTAATTTCAACGTTTACATGAACTCACGCACTATTGAATATACCAAGGGCTCGTTCGATACGCCAGTATTATACGCCCGCATATATATATATATATATACATATATAATATAATATATATACATATATAATTCAAAAGAACAGTAGGTAACGGTCGAAGATATTATAAATTTAGATACTGGATTCGTAACAAGCCGTAAAACTATTCGTTATCGCATAAGATACGACTAGCATACACGTATGAACATGCACATCCATATAAATTGCCTCACAAACCTTAATCATAGCAATCTCCCGCTTGGCTGCCTTGTTTCCGACAGTATCCATTTTGTGGGCAGCTTGCAGTGTGAGTAGACGTGCCTGATCGATCTCACATCGAGAGTTGGCAATATCCGCAAGAATGGTTCCTGTACACAGGTAAATATAAATAAGAAAATACGAATATATTATATATATGTATACGTAGATGTGTGAACCGTCAGCAACACTGTATTAGTTTTCCTGAAGAATATCGCTTGATATACATATCTTGCAGAATTATGACCGCTTGATATATATATACATACATATATATACATATACATATTTATATATATATATATATACATAAATACATACACATACATGTGTTCTATGTACCTTGTGCTGCAAGTGGCTTGCCGAAGGCGGTTCTCTCAGTCACTCGTTTGCACATCAGCTCAAGTGATCGTTCCGCGTATCCAATCATACTGATATAAAAAAACGGGACAAAAAAATATTAAGTAGTGAATTGGACACGTATTTCAGACAGGTATATGTACTGGATTCAGCATGAAAGGACACACATGAGATGACACACATAATATATATATATATAAACAGATCGATGCATTCATTAGAATATGCACATATACGGACGGACACACACACACACACAACCTACCGCATGCAGTGGTGAATACGTCCAGGGCCCAGTCGTCCCTGTGCGATCTCGAAACCTCTTCCCTCACCCAACAAGATGTTGCTTGCAGGCACTCGCACGTCATTGAATTCGATCTCAGCGTGTCCGTGGGGCGCATCCAGGAATCCCAGCACTCGGAGAGGACGGATGATCTTAATACCTGTATGTTGGTGTGCATTTATGTACGTGTATAGGCTTGAGTATGGGCGAGAGATTGTGTGCGTGTATGTTGTGTCTGTGTGCGTATGTGACTTGTAGCTGCATGTAGTGTAGGGGGTGTATATATTGTGGAGTGGTGCAAAGCACGTGTACAGTAGTAGGCTTAGGATTTCTTGTTGTACTCTAGGTTGACTCATGGTGTTATCTCTATTAAAGGTACATACTTGTACATAAACATACGGTGATGTATATGTACATACATGTACGTAAAATATACAGTGTTGTAGTGCTTATGATTTCATTTCTGTTCACATGCACGGTGAAGTATATGTACACACCGGGAGTGTCCATAGGCACCAAAATCATCGACTGTTGGCTGTGGGTATCCGCCGAGAAATCGGTCTTGCCCATCAGGATAGAGATCTTACACCGGGGATCCATAGCACCAGAAGTCCACTGCGGAATTTGGAATTGGTATTTTCAAGTTTAGGAACGGAATACGATGGATAATCCAAAAGCTTGATTCAATTCTAAATCACCCTACAGAATATATTATAAATAATCCTTAACCGTTTATAAAACAACCTTCTCAACACACACTCTAGACATACTATTTTACAACTCCAAATGCATCACATAAAACAAACTCACATGTTTGCGCCCGTTGATAATGTAATCATCTCCGTCACGTTTGATGGACGTTTGGATGTTGGTGGCATCACTGGAGGCTACTTCAGGCTCAGTCATCGCGAAGCACGACCTGATGTATGAAGAAACGAAAACGGTACAAGTTTATCGGATGGATTGAGATAAAGGTATCTCGTCTGAACTATGGCACGTGTTGTGGATGATGTCGAATATATATATACATATATATATATATGTACATATAACTATATAACTATGCTTGTATGTAAGTGCACACACATACACTTAAACATCATACGCCGTACCTGATATCGCCATTAAGCAAGGGCTTTAGCCACTGCTCCTTATGCTCAGGCTTGCCGTAGCGTGTGAGTACCTCCATGTTGCCAGTGTCGGGTGCGCTGCAGTTGAACGCCTCTGGGGCCCACATGCACTTACCCATCTCTTCGCACAGGTGTGCGTACTCGAGGTTGGTCATACCTGCACCGTACTGTAAGAAGGAGGTCAATATCATATCGTTAGGCTCAGGTGAGAGGCACACTGTAATATTGTGGGAGATGTCAAGCGGGTAGACTAATTGCAATTCAGATACAGTACAGCAAGAGTTATATATAGATATAGATATATATATACATATATATTTATAATATTTACCTGGCCCTCGGGATCAGACTCAAGAGGTAAGAACAAATTCCACAGACCCTTGGCCTTGGCTTTCTGCTTCAAGACTTCCATCTCGGGAACTGGAGTCCACTGTCGCTTTTCGTCAAACTGCAAGGGAATGGGATATGCAAGGTTAATTAAAAAAAAACCGCCGAGTAAACAAAGATATGTATAGTTGCCAGAATACATACGTACAGTGCACATGAAAAGAAATATATATAAATATATAAATACATATGTACATAAAGATGCATCAGCACATAAAGCGGCAGTTGAACTCGCCTGATGTTCGTTGAAGAGGGGCTCTAGCGGGATGACTTCTGTGTTGATAAAGTCAATCACATCTTCTTTGATCTTGGCAGCGCGTTCAGACTTCGCCAAAAAGCAAAAGAAAAAAAAGCAGAAGAATAGAACGCCTATGAATGACAATGGTACTGGGAATAATAAACGAAGCAGGAAATGACCTCCACGACTTGGTATGAAAATAGGGCCAAGTTAAGGCCTATGGAGGATTGTAGAGGTTTCCAATCCAGCGTCGAACCGAAAACAGTGGTGCGGACATACCAAACCGAAGACCTCTCCGCCGGCGGTAGAGTATTGGCGACGCCTGACTGTTCCCAAAGGACGCGCTGAGGTGTGATAGCCTCTGCTTGTCTGTGGCATTGCCTGTAAAGTACGAGAAATTTGTGCTCTAATATCTCAGGAAATGCAAGAACTATAAATACATATATATATATAGATTTATAATTATATAGACGTATACGCACAGGCTGTTTTACCTGAGCGTACTCTGAGTGGTGTCTGGAGGCGCTGTTTGCGTCTGCGCGGTCAGCAGCAGACCTGGCAACCGCCGCCAACTGAGTTGCAACGTCATTGAACTTGTTCGAGTTGGTGCTACTGGCCTGTAAGTATGTATGTAGAACCGGGATAAAGTGAGTTGTAGCTTCAATAATTTCAATGTAACGACGGGTTATAATATGTAGAGTATTGATCTATAACAGCAACATCATTTACTGTATCATTGCTATACGTCTGAAGAAGTACAGGACTACTATGTAAATGCGTCAATGCTATATGTCTGAAGAGGTACATGACTACTACTATGTAAAAGATTCCTAGGCAACTGTGTATGTGCTGGCTACTATTGGCATATAAGTATACAAAATCACAGTAAATTGATATATACACATACATATTATATATATATATGCACACAACGGTCTATCCTTCATATATGTATACGAATAAACACACATGCATACACACTATACTTATGTATACCGACACATACCTGGCCCATCAGTCCACGAGCATAAACGCCCTGGCAGATAGAGGACAACCGGAAAAATCCAAAGGCAGTATAGAAATCCCAGTTACTTTTGACCGCGTCGACATCAAGTCCCCTGTGTGGTATTAGAAAACGTACCTTACGTGAACTTCCCGAATTGGAAAACCGTATTGCCGCAAAATACGTACCGTAAACTTGGTTAATAATAAACGTAACACTACCGGGATGAAAGTGAAGAGTGTGACGAATATACATACATTTTTGAAACGAATACAAATAGATTCGGACAAACATTGTACCACCACATATTCATAACCAACCCCCATTAAAACAATTAGGGGGTTAAAAACTCCAAACCGTAAAACCCAACCCATTAATACAATCTATAGATGTCGTATGATGAGAATACGTATTTACATTTTCTGACAGTAACGCTCTACGAATTCCATCTCGGTGGGTACTCCCTCGGGCAATCTGAAGAAAATACGAGAAAAAAAAGGTATTAAAAGCAAAGGAAAGAATGTTAGAAAAATTGAACCCTTTTATCCTAAATACTCACTCGCTCCAAATCTATGATTGGGACATGGTACCACTCAGAAAACACTATACATATCTTACACAATACAAAACATGACATTCCTCAAAATATCAATCCGTGATATCTACAGTTAGGCAAGGCATTGACATACCCAACAACCCGAATTAATTACGGGACAGGACATGTCCCAAAATATCAATCTTATTAAGATACTCACCAACCCAGAAATCAATACGGGACAGGACATATCCCAAAATATCAAGCCCATGAGTACTTACGCTGCATGTCCCAGGCCTTTCATGATGGGATTCTCCACTAGGTGATACATCAGTCCACTGTACGATACATCCGACTGTGAACACGCCAAAATTCGGAGAGAATAATATTTTGAGTTGAAATACCGATAATCGAAATTGAAGATGTTTCAATATAATTGATTAACTGTGAACAAACTCGGGCAATCGAAGTTTATACACCAGATTATAAACCCGACTTATACACTCAACTGGACTCGGTTTACTGAACTCCGCCCATACACTGGAGGTACACTAACAGTCATACCATGGGGTCACCAAGGGTCGACAGTTCCCAATCCAGAATGCCCATCACTCTGCAAATGAATTGATTGAACCGAATGAGAGTTTAGTATACGATCCAGGTGCAGATTTGCATATATCTATGTATCTATGTATCTATATATATATATTTGTGTATGCATATATATATATATATATATGAGTGCATTATGATCGAAATCTGCATGTACAAAATAACTTCCCACATGTATAATATAATAACATATATATATATATACATATACATGTATAGATTTAGAACTATACATATATAGATATAGAACTATATATATATATAGAAACTATGCAACATACTTGTTCTCAGTGGGATGGTAGATCATGTTGTCCAATCGGAAGTCTCCATGTACCACCGCAGTCTGTGTTTGTTCGGGAATGTTCTTTGGCAGCCAGTCGATCAGGTATGTCATATCGGCAATCTGATCCATCTTTCCTTGCTAAATACATCACACACAAGCAAAAGAGGACAATTTAGATATAATTTGTACTCCCGAATTGGACCACTTTGGCCCTGCAAATTACAAGCCCCGGGAATAGATCGAACACCCTACCAGATTGCCAACCCCTACTCTATGGTACAAATTCCATCACCTGCATTTCCCTTTAAGTCCGTTCACAATAACATTACAAACGAGGCAAAGGACTGAACCAATCAACCTAGTACCAAAACCCTAGTTCTTGCCATACCGTAGCTTGGATGGCCCCCACACTTTGATTGGTCCATGTTTTGATTTGGCGCGCAAAGAATTCGTCGGTTTTCTTCGCAAAGCCCTCAATACCTTCCAGATCTGAGTTGTGGTTGGATGCGAGTTAAAAATAAGTAGTGTATGTAGTATGCTCCAGCAGTATGTACCGTGATAACACACCCATCAACATACTAAGGCAAACATTCGATATATCAAGCACACATCTCCTATATACAACATACATCCCACACACATCTGATACACCTTACACACATCTTATGTTCAATTTAGAAGACTATGCATCGTATACATACAAAATACATACATACCATATATCATACATACATCTCACATATACAACACACATCTCACACACATCGTATACATACATTCCATATATCATACATACATCTCATATACACAACATACATCCCACACACATCCAATACACCATACATATATCCCCTACATACAACATACCAACACCGGCAGAGTGCATGGACACCAACGCGTCGTTCATAGACTCATATATCTCCTTGCGATCTTTGGGTGACATCCCGGGCAAGGCTGGGTCGACGAACACACGTCCAGGGACATATCGCATCATGTAGAAGGGCGTGCCAATAACTGAATCGTCCTCACACAGTCCTAAAGTTTCGGGCAGGGGTACACCTTTCTTGCGCAGAGCGGTCATGATCTGGTATCTGTGGGTAGAGGTAGATGTGTGAGAGAGTGTGTGTTTACGCATATGCGTAGTGTGGCATGTATGCGCGTGTGTGAGTGAGTGTGTGTTCATGTGTGATATGCTTCGTGTATGTGTGCGACGAATGAAGTTTGTATGTATGTGCTCTGCTTACAATGACGCATACCGTTCATAGAAAGCCAAATACCGACTTATCCGCACTTGTTAATACTGGTGTTTGTAACAGCACTCTTCGCCTACAAAACAATGAAGATGTGACTATATATATATATATATTTATATATACCAACATATATACGCATGTGTGTATGTACAGAGAGAGACAGACTACTACTACACACAGTGTTATAATCGTACGCATACACGCACGCCTTTCCGCAGCAAGAGTACATAAAAACAAACGCGCTGCTTATCAGACAGTATTGAACTTCAAATCCGATTAGGAACAGACTTACTCTCGCTCGATAGCATGGGCGCCCTTCAGAAGTTTTCCTGGGGGTTTCTTGCGTAGTACAAACTCGCCTACAGCAATAAACAATCAGACAGGTACCGAAAGTGCGTAGACGAGTCAGGTAGGTTATGCAGGTAGGTATAACATAAGCATTTCATGTGAGTATGTGTTGCAGGCAGGTATAATTCGTAGCATTTCATGTCAGTAGGTGTTTCAGGTAGGTATAACACGAGCATGCATGTGATTAATTATGGTACATATATGGGAAAGAAAGCCGTTTGCAACCACGTACACAGATAGTACCGTACCGCTCATAGTGTAGGTTGCGCCACAAAATGATATACACGTCGCTACCTTTTCACCAGTAAACACCATACGTCAGGCTAAGTACTCAAACTATCCGGTCGACACAGATTAGTCCAGGGTCATGGGTTTGTAATACACACGTACAAGACAAACCTACCTGATTCAGTGCCAATGTAGAACGTAGGATTCGACTGTCCATGTGAGAACTTCCGGACGTTCATCTTATCAGCCGATATTTTCAGGGTGTCCTTTAAGTAGCTTCGGAGGTTGTCCTCGTTCAATTTTTGGGCCCCAATCGCAGCTCTTGTCCCCTTGACGTAACCCGTAAGTGGGAAACCGAGCACTTTCTCGAGTTCAGCAAGCGCGGGCTCTACCTCCTTTACCAGGAGAGTGGTCATACCTGTCGAGTGTGTGAATCAGGATTTAGGGTTTAGCGTTTAGAGTTTTTAGAATGTTGGAATATGGGACAGAAAGAGATGTATCGAATCACAATTATTCAGGACATACGTTTTGCACAAGGAGTTGGTCGTAGAGTGACAGGTAGCGAAATGATATTCTACGAATTCGTACTCAACCCCGAGAACGTACCGGATGCTGCTAGCAGAATGTAATGCGGAAAGTAGCTGACTATCCTTATGCTTCTTACGCGTTACACAATAATTGATAGGAGAATCAGGAGATATCTCCTTACCCAATTTCTTCGCCGCGCTCAGATTCTTGCCAATATCGTCCAGAAAAACGGTTTGCGAGGGATCTACTTCCAAACGGTCACATGCGATTTTGAAAATGGCGGGATCTGGTTTGTTCACGCCCTCGACCACACTCTCAACCACACAGTCCATGCGCTGAAACAAACAAAAGAGTTCAGGCGTAAATACATATTAGAATGAATAAAAGAAACAGTCCTGACCATTGCAGGAGACGAGCTGGACATACTGGTGCACGCTCGAGTGTGTACATATACAGACATTAGTAATATAAGCGCGAGCACATACTTACACAGGCACACTACTAATACGAGAGCAAACATGTACAGGTGCATGTGTTTTCGTTACAACACACCTTAGTGACATCACTCTGGATCTCGTCCTTGCCATTTCCGATACGCCAGTTGTTGGTTACAGCCGCTGTTTTGATACCCTCGGCGCGAATGCAGTCGATTGCCTCGAGCATCGCTGGTGACGCATTGTACACATACGAGTGTATGTCCTTCAATAACTTGGCTGCATCCAGAGGGAAGCCTGCCTGCTTACTTTCAGCTTCAAACTGGATATATAAATGGAGATGTACATGTGTAAACGTAGTATTTGCGGATAGATAGATTCATATATCTGACACTATATTTTGCATGTAATTATGGGTGAGACATGAACTTTCATTCCCCTCACGTCGAGCCCATTATCGCCCTGAAAATCACAACCTGTAGACGTGCAAGTTAGCCTAGTCCATCAAGATACTAGATAGCTACACATTCGAAGGCTAATTGAATCCGGCACGCAGCAATGTAGCCTTCGTACAATCACAAAGTAGGCAAAATAACATGATCACATGAACAGGCGGCATCTGAAAAATATACATTCAGATTTCACTGCTGACTTAGTCGTAAAGTTGTTCAGAAGCTTCTGTTATGGACCAAACTCACCTTGGGATAGAATTCTTTGAGCGTAAGTTCTCCCCTTTCCAATTGCTGAAAAGATCCTTTAGATCCTGTGAAGTCGCAAGTAGCACAGACGATGAGTGAAACGAAATATGACTAGATAACAAAATATTACACATGCACACACGCGTATACACGCACACTATATATATATATAATATAGACGAAACCAGATTATTGTATTGCGTCGTGGGCGTATATACCTGTGCCTGCAATGATCTTGTTCACTGTGTTGGCAGGATATCCCAGGACCTCTTCATATTTGCGTATAGCTTTCATCGGAGACTGTAGTACAACACCTCCGAGGTCAAAAGCAACCGCTTTAATCCCTTTCTTCTCTCCTGTGGAATAGTATCGTCCGATAACCCCATTTCTTGCGAGAACGCTTGTAGGCTGAAATCGGGTCGACGTGCGTGCCAGCGCCAGCTGGGAGAAGGCCTTGGCCTCAATCCCGAAGCGCTGGGAAATCATACTGTTGCTATATGCAGGTAACTCTGGATCCGTACAACGGAAAGTGTGAAGATGTGGGAGGCGAGCTGTTTGTTTTACATTTTTTTTTAATCATTTCCTTGTTGAATCCTTCGTGTTCACAAGATGGCGTACGTAGACGCTTTGTTTTGTTTGTTATCGCTAAAATTCCTCTTCCTCGATATTTACGGTGACAGCTGACAGTCTGACATTGACCTCGTCGTTTCGCGTTTAAACGGTTTATAGAAACAGGTTCTCGACTGCGCAGATTATCGCTATACACTAAAACTTACAAAAAAATATATTATATTTGACGTTTTCATTTTAACGTTTAAAACTGACGTTAGGTCGACACCGATGCTCACCAGTAAAATAGTTCCTCGTCATCACGTAAATATCACATGCTTTTTCTATTTAACATTTGGGGCTCTGCCACAGTGCCAAACATCCCAAACTATTTAACACGGTGTTTGTTTTTTTATTAAATATTAAAAACTTCATCAGAGTTAAAAATACTGCTGTGTGTATGTATAAGTTCCCCTTGACTCTCCACTCTCCAGTCCCCACTTCTGGACCCCAGACTCCAGAGTCACCTGGATCTTGGTGACGCCTTTGTTGTATGTATTTATTTACAAAAATATTATCCTCTCTTCTTGTGTGTGTATTTTTATTGGAGTGTGTAGTGTGTACGGATTTTTAGTGGATTTTCAACGCGAGAGGGCGTCCTGTCGCCGTGAAGATGCAAAGTTGAAAAAGTGCAAGCTGCAAAAGCCTCTAATTTATAAAGTGGGCTAGGCAGAATTTGAAGATAACATAGCCTTCTTCTGTGTTCTTTTTTCAAAAGAGGCTATGGCCAATTGTGCAAATAAACAGACATCTCAAATTTTCCGTCATTGTTGCATCGTTGTAAATAAATAGCTATTTCAATCTCAATTTCAAATATATACCTCTTGTAAAGTATAGTTTCCGTAAACTTGGTATCGTCATTCGGTGACCAGATTTCTTGTTCCACTTCTGTAGGACTAAAATAAGGTGACTTCTAGTATTTCTTGACTTCCTACTTTTCAATACACGTCTTGTCGCACATAGGTAGGGAAGCGTCGCCTATGACATGACTATGATATTGTTCATATAAGGCGGTTCAAAATGGAGATTTGTTTCAGGCCCACCACCCTTTTGGGGGGGAGGGGGAGAGAGGGACTGAGCTCTTGTCACTTCGCACCTACCTTCGACGTTTGAAAACCAATATTGATGTATTTAATACTTATAATTGTTCTTTTTTATTTCGCAGCATGATATCTTGTATCATTTGGGCAATGAAACTTCGCAGTATTTAATCGTTGTCGCAACATTTTGATTCCATTTCAGTTTGTAGTTGCAGTTACACTTGATGTCCGCGTTCTTGCACATAGTTGTGGGCTCTACTTTCTTCTCACAACAAGTTTCCTGGTCGCACTTTGGCACCCATTTCTCACAGTAAACGCAGTTACAACATTTCTCATTCTTTTGCCGATCATAGCCATACTCGCAGTCGACATCGGAGTTTTTGCATTTAACTGATGGTGTGATTATCTTTTCACAGCAAGTCTCTTCGTTATTTACATTTAGGTACCCAGTCTTCGCAGCAGTATTCACTATCGCAGCACTTCTCGTGCTTTGGCAACTCAAAATTGTATTTGCAGTCGACATATGCATCCTTGCACTTTACTGGAGGATGTCTTTTTTTCGCAACAAATCTTCTTGTCACACATCGGGATCCAGTCTTCACAGTAGTCACTATCAAAGCATTGCTCATTTACAAGAAGTTCGTAGCCATTTTCGCAGTCGACATAAGTATCCATACACTTGACTGGAGGATCAATTTTCTTTTCACAGCAGGTCTCCTTACACTTTGGCACCCCGTCCTCGCAGTAATCACAGTCGCAACACTTAGTTCGCCCATATAGCCCATACCCATAGTCACATTTGACTTTAGTTAACTTACATTTGGTCGCTGGATCCACACGCTTTTTGCATCACGTTGCGTATTGCCTTTCAATCTCCATCGCAGCACTTCTCGTGCTTGCACAGCTCGGTGCGGTAGTCACATTCCACATAAGCCTTCACACACTCGATGGGCGCCTCTGGTTTGTACAAGTCCCTACACTTGGTCCACTTTAAGAGCTACGGCAGTAGCATTCCTTAGTGTCCTCTTTGTACCATTGTCTACAATGATAGGTCTATACACCCTTGTACTCACACGATGATTGGACACGGTAGCCGCAGCTCGCCTCAAAAGATGTTTTAACAATCGCGAATGCGAGCACAGATAGGAAGCACATTGATCTAGATACGACAGGCATATTTAGGTTATGTATATGTGAAGGCTGTTGATAATGTGAAGTGGAGTCGAGGCGATTGCATAAAACAATTTAAAGCAGCAACATAATCCGATTCAATCAGTACTATATAGATTGATGTATCTACATACGGAATAAAAAATTAGAATATTTACACGGCCCTCTGGACATGAATTCATATTTTACAGGCGAGAGAAGGCTGAGAGCCTACTAGAGGGTCACGAGTCTCGACCCTCGAGCGGAATCAAGTTTGAGTTTCAGGTTGCTGCATTCTCTCCTATTTAGTTTTTTATATTTTTAATATTTACAGATTTTTTAAATATTTACATACTCATCGCAAACTGCGTCACTAATCGGAATTTATATTTGATGACGCAGTTTTAATTTGTTTTACAATTTGTTTTGGTTTAAAAACAAACAAACAAAAACAACAAAATATTTGGTTTGTAGAACGATAGAGACGAAACTATGTATGATAGTACAAATACAGTTGCATGCATCGCTTCAACAGTGATACAACCAGGTACTCAGACGTCTTGTCTGGTGTGTCGATTGAAATACAGTGTAGCTTCTGTAAAAAAAGCAACAACAGCATATTGTTGTCATGTTTCATACCGATTGAATCATGCATCGATGTATGCGAAACAGCACTCGCAAACCAAACGTAACAATGTATGTGCGCGGTTACTATCGAAATGAGTATGACTTTAATTTCCATAGCGCATCTAGCCTCGACAGAGCGATGGGTGTGGCGTCAAAGACTAGTCAATAAAACACTACAATACACGGGTGAGACACCACGTGCGCAAGAAACACACATATATTGTGTTCACACAAGCTCCCTTCTCTTCGTGCCTTTTCTAAGCATAGCTACATGATGTGTTTCCAACCCGTCTCCCGCTAGCGTCTCGTCGACAACCAACCAATTTAAACTCCACAACTATACCATGTATAGTACACCTTAATAACATCTCACCATACGAAATCATAGGTCAACACTGAATACACTCAATTCCTTTAATCTCCATTGGGTCGCTATACATATCACATCTGATCTACTCTTCAACATGAGCTTTTCCCGCCTCGTCAGGAGCGATGTGCTTTTCTGCCACGATCACATCCATATCGCGCATATTGGTGTCCATGTTCAGATCCTGTAGAGTTTCGAACCCCATTTCGGTGTGGAGAGGTATCTGGGGCATTCTGGTAGCGAAAGGCTCACTCTGCAGCGCCGCGCTGAGTGCACTCGTGCGTGCGGTTTTGATACTCCGGGCTTTCGCTGCGAGAGTTCGTGTACAGTCGGGAGTAGGTATACGATATGCCAAATGACGATATGAGATGTCAACAAATATGTAAAGTGCGTGAGTATGTAGAAGATAAGCCAGGTGAAGGTACGAGATGTCAACAAATATGAAAAGTGCGAGAGTAAGTAGAAGATAAGCCAGTTGAAGGCACGAGATGTGTATAAATACGGAAAGTGTGAGCGTAGGTAAAAGAAGAATCAGGTGGACATCCGGGATGTATATAAATATGGAATGTTTGAGAGTATGTAATCGATGAGCCAGGTGAAAACATGAGACGTATATAAATAAAGGATGTGTACACTGGAATGCGCTTGATATGAAGTCAATTGTCATTTGGGCTACAAGGTCTGAGTATGCAAGTATTTTTTTAGAGGCAGTCTATATATCGGAGAGTAGTCCTAACGAAGATGTAGGCTGCATGCTGAGGACGTGGTAAGGGTTTATATATATATATATATATAATATATATATATATGTTTGTATTTATATATATACATATATGTTTGTATATATATATATATATATATGTGCGTGCGTGTGTGTATGTGTGTGTGTGCGTATTTGTGTGTGTAAATGTATATATAGGTATATGAAGGATGACTTGGGTTCGTATGCGTATGTCGCAAATATTGGAATGCGTCGCACAATACAGTAGCATCTCACATATCACGGTTACTCTGCGTTAGTACGAATAATCACATAGACAGGTTGTAATATACTAACCGGAATACGGAATACGTATGTGCTGCTGAATACACTCATACCGCTGGTTACCAAACGGTGACGTATATTATATTTATACTGTGAGCAGCTGTTCAGGAATCTGCCTCTAGGTCAAGGAAAAAACTAAAAAAACTAAAAAAGCCAAAACGAAACCGCCTAGCTATGGGCCTATGTATGATTACGTATTTGGTATGGTAAAACGCATCGCTTGCATACACATCCACGCAGTACGAGTTGGACATAGGAGAGATGAACGTATATACACAAGTCACAGTAGTCTTCGGTTGAACAACGACTTACCACTGGCGATCACGGTATCACCCCGTTTAATGTCCACCTGATGCAGACCCCCAGAGAGCGTAGTGGCGCTGCAGAGTATCAGAGAGAATAGTAGGGATAAGACAGGAAGCCCTGAGACCGTTTCTGTGTCCAGTTTACTTTACTTCACATTTTCGTCCGACCCGCTTTGTATAAGGGTCACTTCTCGTCCCTTTCGAGGCAAGTAGTGCCAGTAATCGATGCATTGGTGTCGGTGGTAGTTATGCTCAAAGCGGCAATGACAAAGAGACAACCCAGTTTAGGATGAAATAGTGTCAGAATACTCAAAGTGGGAATGACAATAAGAGAACCCCGTTTGGCTCACCGAAAGAATAATAAATTTCACACGCTAAACTTGTCGCTCGTCGATTTTGTCCCCCCCCTCCGGTTTTGGCTACGAGACCCCGGGCAACAGTATATTGGAGAAATTAATATATATATATATATATGTATATATATATACATATACATATCTTTATACATATCTATATATATACGCATACACATTCAAACTCACACAGATAAGTGACATGATGTGGATATGGACAAACCTGCGTGCGTATACCCAGCTACCCATGCATAAATATACATACATGTTGTCTACAGTGTAGACGACCGCAACTATGAATCGTGTACATACGTGGCAGTGAGATCGGCGATATTATCCGTTCGACAGATGGAGGTGAGCGTGATAGCGGGGCTGGCAAGCTTGAGCACGGTCTCGACGTCTTCATATGAGGTGAATAGTAGATTCGAAACCAACCGCTGCACCTCCGCTGGGCCCTATAGAGGACATAAAATAGAAAAGGCAACGAAGTCAATATCGGCCATTGAGGATTGATAGGCGTATTGCAGTGCGTTTTCGGAAGAAAGTGAGAAACGGGTCCGACAAAAACGGCCAACCTCAACTGGGCTCTACTGTATACCATAACGTTTAAAAGCTTCAGTTTATAATCGCTGTCGGCAAAGAATATTGGTTAGCTTTTCAGAAATAGGTAAAAAGCAAAGGCCGATACAGATTGCTATGCGTCAGATGTGACATACGCTCATAAAACTACTCAAACACGTTTTTAAAATTAAAAGTGTGACTGTCTGCCGTATTTTAAATGCCACAGACACAGACAAAGACACAGACACGGACACAGACACAACACACATACATATTTAAATTTGTATACACGCACCTATCGATGGTGCACAAGAAACAATAATCAAAGATGTTCCATCATACCAGCACTCGTATATGATAGTATCCGTCCCCACAACAAGTACAATTTTCAGTCAGATACTGTACACATAGTGATACTCCAAGCTATACATACCTGTGTGGAATACACAGCCCCCACAAAGGCAAAGAATGCGGACTGAACCACCCGGTCACTGATGAACTCAGGGGCCCAATACGTCCCTCGCATCTGGTTTGGTATGGCGAAAGACGTGTGGGTTTATTCATCCGAATGTATGAATATATATATATATATACAATACCGATTTTCAAAGGAAGAGTAGGTAATTCATAATCGAACGAAGAAAGCCATGTCTCATCATGCCAGAAGATCTGCATTTAACTTCCCAATTAGAGAAATGCCATAATTGGTTTTTGTGTGGGCAGTAAACCCACAACCAAAGTGATCGTGTATATATATTGGTGAGTGTATCGACGTTCCACATGCATGAATCTTCGCATACACACCGTCTGCAACGTTGTAGCCAGAGTTAAAAGCTAGAACATACACCAATGTAGACGCACACTGCGCTTATCGGAATACACAATTAGAGTACACACATACGTTGATTATTCAAATAGAGACTACGTAGAAATGATAGCATACGCCCGTCCACGAATAACCCTATCAACGGTAACAGTGGTGGGTCAGGCCCACCACCCAAACAATAGGGAGCAAGCGATTCAACAGCCAATACGTACGAGTATCGAGTATAAATTTCGAAACAACAACAATACTGGTAATAGTATACAACATGAACAGGGTGTACCTCTGGCAAACACGGGCCATACATCCGCTCCCTCGGTGGGAAAGACCAATCATACGCAACCAGTGGGAGACTGCAACCACTCAGAACAAACACAGGGGAAAAACGCAACACACACTCTCTATATATAAATATATATATAAATATACATATATGTACATATACACATATATATATATATATAATTGTTCATGTGTGTACAAACACACAAACACACCCAAATATATATAAATATATAGATATATAGATACATATATTTATATATAATATACGCGCGTGCATGGTCCAGTGTACTTACATCGCGTCGCCCTTTAGACACAGTGATTGCGTTGCGTAGTCCTGTATTTTCAGTGACTCGGACCAGCTGTTCGGTATCCAAGGCGTACTTGACTATGGATTTGAGTGTATCCGCTTTGTATTTATGGCCGTATACCTCGATAACCCGTTCAGTCATGAACATGTTCAGTGTTCGCTTTCCTGAATAGGAATAGGAGAATGGTGTACGATTAAAATTTCGATGCATTTGTATAACTATCACACACGTTGTGTATGATAACACATACAAATATACATAAATATATACATACTTACATACACACACATACAAATACAGACTAACACAATATATATATATACATATTTGTCACAAACACACACACAAATATATATACAACACGCACAAACAAACATACACATACATATAAATGTATAAATATACATACATATACATACATACATATATATATATTATAAAAATAAAGAAAACAAAACTAAATACATACATAGATACATACATATACATACATACATATATATATATTATAAAAATAAAGAAAACAAAACTAAATACATACATAGATACATACAGGTACATTCACATATATATATGTATATATATATAATATAAACCTATACATATACAAAGACACACACACACGCGCGCACACACACATGCATTTATATATATAATGAAATATATACATGTACATCCATACACACATAATTACACGCACAACTGTATTCATATACATACATACACATGCAATTACACACACTTATACATTTACATACATACACACATTGCACTGACACAAACACAAACACAAACATATATCTATATATATGCGTGTGTGTAAATGTGTGTATTGATTCGTGTGAGTGTTCATATTATATATATATAAATATATATATATATATGCGTGTGTGTGTGAATGTGGGCATTGATTCGCGTGTATGTTCATATTATATATATATAATATATATATACATATGTATATATATACATACTTGTACATATATATTATATGTAAATATATATATATATATACGTATATATATATATATATATATATATATGTATTATTTATACATATATATAAATATTATATATATACATGTATAATGTATATATATATATATAAATTTATAAATTTAGATGCATATATATATATATATATATATATATATATATATATATATAAATACATATACATATATATATATTAATTGTGTGTGTGTGCGTGTGTGTATGTATGTATATACATGTATTGTATAAATGTATTTCTCTATCCAGTCAGACACATACACACTATACACTGACAGACTGAATTTTGCACGCTCATACTTCTACAAAATGTATAAATATCTTCTCGTATGCCTTTTCCTCGAACATACATAACCATTTTCACCCACAACTAAAACCCACCAAGAACCAATCAATACTTCTTGATCAGATGCACATATCGCAATAAAAGCCTAAGAATAGCATATACTTTTGGATAAATTCCGAGTCGTCCTTTGCGACCAAACAAAACCACGAACTAACCCTGCAAGTAGTTCATACATTTCAATCAACCCAAACAACCATTCAGTACATCCAGATACACCTGTGACAAACAACCTAATCCTTACAGACTCCCATACAATATATTCAGGTACACATATCACAAAAACCTTTTATAAGCAATATATACATACCCAGTAGTCCTAGATGGTCGTGAACAGACGAGCGATGGGTCAGAGCCCTCAGAGCGAGGTCCTGGTCTATATTGACACCCACATTGTCCATGAAGACTCGCACATGCTCTATTGTAGGTGAATGAGTAGTCGATTCCCCCTGCATACTATCAAGTACACGATATGCCTTAGCGCTATTAGAGCTATCCAGACGCAACGGGCTCGATGTGAAGCTTCGCGCGTGCGAGTGTTTGTGTGTCAATGAGTGAGCATGTACTTGTGTGCAAGCACACGCATGCGCATGGTGGTGGTAGTGGTTATATGTTATATGCGTGTGTAAGGGCATGTCTGCGTGGGTATGCAAAGATGCGGCTTTGTTGTGCTGCGTGCCTTTGTACTTACGAGACAGAGGGTGTACATAGGACGACAGTGTAGACGCCATACGCGAACTCACACGCATTAGAGGCGTCAAAGTGCGCTGGGACACGTTCTTGGACGTACGCAGGAATGTGTGTGACATGTTGTCATAAATCGATAGATATGCGTATAGGTATGTGTGTATATATGGATATACAAGAGGCTACCTATACATGTAGCACCTACTTTTGTCTCGTATATATGTGTGTGTATGTGTGTGTGTCCGTGATAGTATATATATATACACGCCGTATCGCTTTTACTCTACTAGTATGTTGTTAAATACTCACGCTCTTTACAAAAGCATGAATACCTGTGACGCCGTTCAGGTCAAATCTCATTGCGTTAAAGTAGTTCCCTGTATACGGTTTTTAGGAAGTGAAGTAGACAGAAACTAAACCATATATTAAACGAATTTGGACTATTTAATATACCTTTGGTATATAATTTGCACTTCAGTACTACTAAATGTTGCACCAATATCAAATATTTAGAACAACGTTGAACGGAAACTCAAAAAGGGTTGGTTTGAATACCTTATAACGTAAAACAGAATGCCGGTTCTAACGATCGCGTGTAACACGTACACGAGAGAAAACGTACTCGTATATGAAACCGTACTCTCCTTCAACAATACAAAGTACTCATTTGGAATAAGCGTAAAAACAATACGTAAATGGTTTTGGCGGGCGATTGATCATTAACTGTGTATGTAAATATGTATAGATCGCCTCCAGTTCAATTTAGAGAGGTTCTGCCGCTGAGAGGTTATGCCGCTATGATACTACAACATGTGTATTTTACAATAATACTACAGTACTGACAACTAGAACGGCATGATAAGATAGCTTTTATGTATTGTATATATCGATGGTTCAAATCACTATATGTTTCGAAGTATTATGCCGGATTGCATGGTGAGACTGATTTAATCGTTTATCGACGTGCGTTCAAGCCCAGCAAGTACAGACAGTAGTATATATTCTCCTGAATTGGTGTCAATCTATATAGTTTAGAAACTGATAACCGTATTCATACGCCTGACTAAACATCTACTAGTCGCAAAATCTGTCCCGCTATTATTGTCTTCTATTACGTATCGTCAGTACCTGGATCCAATTAGGCAATAATTTCAACACACTTACGAACGATCTGTGTAGGTAATAAACGCATCGCTATACCAAGTAATCGAATAGTATAACATAGGCACACCATGCATGCACACGGCCTCGCAAGTGCACGCTCACAATGTGCCTATACGTACACGCAGGGATACAGGCCTCTATGTCTGCGTGTACACACACGCGCACACACAGGTCATGCACACAACTCGATGATGTCAAGTATAGCATCTGTACATACACAGCCATGTACGGTATTGCACAATCGTAGTATTCATGCACATATGAATTCAATACGACCCGGTATATACACGTACATACACCCAGGAGGTTCATATCCACAAGCACACACAGCCAGACCACGCACAAACACCCATACGTGCTTGTCATCGACACACACACGCACACCCAACTCTATTCTGCTATCCAAATACACGCGGTCAATGCATACGACCACATATCCCTGTACCTGCACACGTACACATATGCACACACACGCACACCCGATGGATGTGGTCTCTTGCAATACACCACAATGCAGAGTACCACTACTAAGAACACACCTATGCGCGGATAGAGGTATTGGCGTACACGTGCTTCAGGCCAGAGGTGTCAAAAACATGTCAGGCAGTGTGGCAAAGGTGTCCTATGCTGGTCCTTCGAGCGCGCCTTCGCAAAAGTTAAAGGGTACCAAACAAAGGGCGCCAGGTGTGACCAAGGATAAACAGGCTTGGAATACGAAGATTATCACTGGTATGTATGTATGTATGTATGTATGTAGATGTGTATACGTATGTATGTCTGTATATATGTATACGTATGTTTGTATGTGTTCAGTATGTGTATGTATGTATGTATGTGTATGTGGCAGCATATGGACATGTGTCAATTTGTACACAGTAAGCCTTGTGCGTGTTGTGAGGGACGTATACGCACACAACATTTTCAGGGCTATGGTTTGTGTACGCATGGTTTGTGTGCAAATGTGTTGTTTAAACTGATCACATATGCGTTTGTGTAAAGGTCTACTGCGAACATCTAGGCTTTTCTGTATATACAGCCAGGTCCACTGGTATACAAACACACCTTGCAGGTAGTGTTTCCTATAAACGTAATAATGATGAAATTTTGTGGACATTAAGTCTGTTTTATCGAAATGAGTATCGAAAACAACCGTATTCCGTATCCTGATTACTTTCTAGGTAAGATAGCATATAATGAAGAACAATGAAGATACCGGCTGTTGCGTCTACAAAGTTGGACAGTATTTATGACTAACAAGTATGCAAGCAAAAACCATATTGAAAACGTTAATTCTTCACCAGGCAAGAAAAGTAAGCGATCCAATGTGATGGATACGAATAGCCTGTCGGTTGCCGATAGAGCCCGGGTGCCCATCGCAAATAAAATATTCACTGGCTACTGCGAGTTTGTAGCATCCTGCACTGATATGGACCACATACCCAAACACACAGGTGCTGTAGAGGTAGGTGGCGCCTACTTGGTTGGCTATACATATATATATATATATATATATATATATTGTAATGGTTGCGACATGCGTATAGAGTCAAATCCTAAAATCTCTTTTCACATGTACTGTGGAATTTCATCTGTATTTCAAGGAAGACTGAAAGGACATACAAATCATTGATACATCGTATGGGCACTTCTTGTGGATACCAAATTTCTGCTTGTTTACATCACCTTTGGAACCTTCTTGCAGATCGCAGTTTTGGGTCGCAGTAACGTGGGCAAGTCCTCGTTGCTCAACGCACTAATGTCCCGCGAGAAACTAGTCAAGACAGCCAAGCGACCGGTATGTGCAGCAGAGTGGGGTGGAGATCTGATCAGGGTTCTGAATTCTTTGTGACGTATTTGTATCTGGAGAATTGGCTGACTCTGTATGTACGGGGAGGTCGATGCTTCTCATATATATTGCGATGAGTGTTATGACTGAATCTCTTGGAAGAACTTGTAGTGCATGTTTCGGAAATCATAGTGCAACGTATAGCTGGGTAGCTATATTCAGTTTCATTCAGTGCCGTCATGTCTCGTGGTACGTTGATTATACATTAGACAAGTGGCAGATACCAAAGCACGAATATGATCATTTCTTTGCAAGTTATCATGCTTTTGTAGGGCGATATTCTCTGAAGAAGATTGAGGAGGTCTGCATGTATCTCGTATTCAAAAGTGATTGACATGTTTTAACCTTACGAATGCATCATGTAATCTCCAGGGGCACACCAAGAAACTGAACTTCTTTCGCGTCGGTCCAAATAAAGCAAACGCCGAGACGGTCCGTCTGGTCGATATGCCCGGCCACGGACACGCATCGAAGGAGGAGTGGATGGATCTGATTGGCAACTATTTACGTACTGGCAGGTAGGTAAATTTTGTCTTATACATAGAATCTGCGGGGTGTGTGAAATTAGTGACACCAGTAGTAGAAGGAGTGGTTGGATCTCATTGGCGAGTATATACGTACTGGCAGGTAGGTATATTCTGTTCTATAAATATATTCAGTGTTCTGTGTAAGATCAGTGACACTACAAAAGGAGTGGATGAATTTCATGGGCAGCTATTTTCCTACTGGAAGGTAGGTACATTCTGTTCTGTAGTCAGTATATATATATGTGCATGAACCAATTGCACTGATATACAATCCTTCTTATGTACTCACACGTTCACTTCATGTACCGCTCTGATATAGATGCGCGCTAGTGCTAGTGCTGATATCTGCCGAACACGGGCTTAAGGAGACTGACAAACTCGCGCTGCGATTAGTGGCCAAGATACGGCACCCAGCAGATCTACAGACGAACGAGAAGTACCCACACACGCACTCAAAAACGGGCACTATGATACCACATCCATTCCATTACGCCCAAGAAAAATCGGACACGACGGGCGAAAGTGGGCCGGATCTAAATATAGAATCGGGTGCGCGAAAGAATGGGAAAGGTCGTAGGCATGCAACTGCAGAGACACAAGGACTGGGTGTTGGTGACTTTACCTATCTGCGGACTATGGTCGTGTTAACTAAGGAAGATAAGGTTTCCGTGACTGCACGGAGAAAGGCAGAGATGGAAGTCAACGCGTTCTTGCACGAGGTGCGTATATGTTCAACGTATTGTGCGTGTTGTTGTACTGTATTCTTGGGCATATAGGTTCATCTCGCAGTGGCAACGATGTGCACGGACGTCGGTGTGTCTGTGGACTATGTTGGTACTATCTAAGCACTATGGGGAGTTGGCAACTGCGCGGGGAGAACTAGAGAAGGAAACCAGTGCATTCTTGAAGGAAGGATGTTTTAGTATGTTCGTGTGCACTATATGCATAGATATAAGTGTATATGAAAGTATAGACATCTTTAATACTAATGATGCTGGTTGTGTGTATTTACATACATACTGCAGTGGTGCTAACCAAAGAGGATCATGTCTCGGCGACTGTGCGAGAAGAAAGTTATCCCACTGTTGTGTTGTTCTGTTTATAGAATGCAGATAATGTTTTGTTCGTGTACATATTATAAATACGTATACGTCCGCATGTATATATATTCAAAATCATATATACATCTATGAAAATACGCCGTTACACTCTTTCATACAAGTGCACTCGTGGTTGGAATATCCCACCATACATGGTATACAGTTTGGCTCTATTCTTGTGTCCGCGTACACTTTCGAACGTCACACGGTTTGTCGTGTGCATTTGTGCACCTATGAATATAACCATGTAACTCCATTCACAATCCCTACAATACACAGCTCAACATCTCAACCGCCCCCTTATCGGTCACTGCCAATGTGCCAATAGAGGTGTTGTTATCTGAATTTGATCCAACGAGTGCCAATAGCGACATCATAAGCGCCAGCGCAAGAGAGAAGACGGGTATCGAGGAAGCGCGCCTGGCTATAATCAACAGTGAGTGTGTGATGTTTTATCAACAATTATATAATATAATATATATATATATATATATATATATATATATATATATATATATATATATATATATATATATGTGTGTGTATATGTATATGTATATATAATTATATATATATATTCATTTCTATGGACTTTTGTTGTTCTTTTTATTTATACAATAGTATACACTTATGCATATTAATATGTATGTTCGAGTATTTATGTGTACATACAGAGATATGTTTATACTAACATGGATACAGATATGTCTGTATCTGTATATATATCTTTACTTTTATGTATTTATCGTTACTTTTACATTCCTGTTCCCATTTATAGATATGTTTATACTAACATGGATACAGATATGTTTGTATATATCTTTACTTTTACATTTGTGTACCCATTTACATATCTATAGTTACGATTCCACACCTCTGTCTTGTGATAATTTGCTTGACTGTTGTAGATATTGTGCGGCAATATGAAGACGGTATAATACATAGAACGTTGTCAGCTTATCTGTCTTTTATGTATCTATCTGCCATAGGCATGATTGCCAATAACACCCGTTTCGACCACGGGTTTTTCGACCACTTTCGACAAACCCTTTAAGTATCTCTTTTACCCAATTCTCACACTGTTTTTTTAAACCAATTTGCAGACAAATGGTTAATTCGTGACCAGTGTTGTGTGCGTATCAGTTTTTAACTCTCCCTGATCATTACACAATTAGGGTCTGATATCATCTGATACGGCAATACGGAAACCTTAAAACCCTATATAATTTAGGCTTTCAAATACCGAACTGAATATTCAAATGTGAGCCATGCATATTTTCTTCTGTATGAATGCGTAGAATTGAGGCTCTACTGAGAATCGAATACTCGACACTGTGACGGCCACGACAGCAGAAAGTGATACTGCAAGTGCGTTTGGATATCAAGAGGACATTGTGTGAACTCATAGCTTACGGTATGAAAGCTGAGAACACGTATAATTGGGGATGGATTTAGAACAGATTAAAATGATTAAAATGGATTTAGCGAAGATGCGTAGTACATCGAACTGTGCGTATAATTAGCCTTTGCGCGTGTACCATCTGCGCACGCACTGTCCTGTCGCGCATAAATGGGCCCACGCACCCATAAACCATAAAGCACACACACACCCAACATCCGTATCAGTGCAAAACTAATGGAAAGCGCATAAGGTAAAACAATGTTATCTACAGCACCAAACGACTACTGGTTTTATCCGCGAAGGGGTGCGCAAATGTGCACGTGACTAGAGTGCTTTATGGATACCCACCAATATACGCATGGCAGTCGTTAGTGTGATCTGCTCTAGCATCCGAACGAGTACATATTAGTTGTACACGTGTGCTTACTATCGCCCGCACTCGGTCTTGGGAGTGTAGAGTAGGAGTATCGGATACTGCGTGCAATTATACATACAAGCAGCCGGAATGTTTGTGTGGGTGCAAAGCAACAGTTTCGTTGGTTTCTATTTTATTCTGTGTTTTCCTATTTTATTCTCTCGGTAGGTAGCGTCCGGGTTCATATTCACAGAGTTTCTTCTAAATTCAGAGTAGTTGGTAGCCATATTCAATAGTTGGTAGTCGTAATCATGTTCATGTCATCCGCAGTTAATGCGAGAATTTGGGATCGGTGTCGGTCGTTCATGCAGCACATGTTGCATTCCGCTCGATCCATATATCGGTAATTTTCGTGCAGAAGAGTTGTATGTACTTATGCATATAAAAGTTGTGTATGTGCGTAAACACATACATGCACATACACAGTAATATTCAGTCTAAGCTGAAGCAAGGAGCTTGCCCTCGGCCCTTGCATCCCGCCTGCACAGGCAGATACCCAGAACCAGCACCACCAGTATTAACACAGCCGCCCCAGCCCCAATACCAATCATAGCCAAGGTAGACAGACCACTATTTGATTGAGCTCCATCCGTCTTAGGTAAATCGGTGCCGGTTGCAGTTTCCCCTGATGTTGACTCGGGGTTCGATCCCACCGTCGAGGCCTGAGTTTCTGTTTCAGTAGAAGTAGAAGTAGCAGTAGCAGTAGCAGTAGCAGTGGCTGTGTCGTCTGTCTGAGTTGGTGCACTTGTACGAGTGACTGAAGGTGCCACTGTGGGCGCCGGGCTAACCGCGAGCGCCGGCTGACCAGAACTTGTGGGGGTAGTGGTAGGTGAGGTGCTAGGTGTAGCTACAGGTGAACTGATCAGCGTAGGGAACGCTGTCATGGATGGTGAGACGGTGGGTGTCACGGAGGCTGCAGGGGTGGGCACAGGAGAGGGTGTCTCAATTCCGCTACCCTCTAGATCAATCTCCTGATCGACACCGTTGTTAGCGCTACCGCCCATATCCACATCGATGGTGGTGTCGACGTTCTCAGTGCTACCCCCAGACACGGCTTGGCGACGGACGTTGCCAGCGAGTGTGCGTACGAGCGGTTTGTAGTCGCCAGACCCAGCGGTCTGGGTGTAGGTGAGCTTGGCCTGGCATGCATTCTGGGAGGATACTGTAAGCTTGACGGGCTTGCCCTTAGCGTAGTGTATCTTGCCCGTTATATCGCAGTCGTCTCGTTCCTTGCGCAGGCGGTACACCTCAGCTAGCGCGTCCATCTTGTAACTCTGCAGGGAGAAGGTGGTGTATTCGGATACCCACTTGAGCGAGGACTCGATCCACGCTTCTAGCAGGGACGCGGTTTTGCCAGATCCCATGTCGTTGACGCGCAAGTTGGCTTGGTGGAACATGCTGTTGATAGGGACGAGGGAAAGGATGGGTAAGTATTTGAAGTGTATGTATGAGGCCCAATACACCCAGGAACATGAAAGGACACTACATAGTGCATACATCCACTTGAAATGATTAGGAACGTATACGTATCACAAGTTCGTGTGCGTGTTACTTACTAGGGGTCGGTGCGAAGGGACAGCATGTTGCGGGCCACTTCGAAGCCCTCCAAGTCGATGATCTCCTGGAAACTCAGGTCGTGCTGGTATTGGAAGCTTGCGTCGCACGTCTTGCAGTTGGGGCCGTAGATCGAGTTGTGCTCCATAGCCATCTCGGTTGGGGTAGATACGTCAAAGTACACCCGTGTGGCAAAGCGTGGGATGACATTGATGCTCTTGACTCCATACAGACTTATCATTTCCGCCTCGAATGCCTCTCTGGAGGTGTCGGTTAGTTCTACGCCGTCCTTGCCCATCTTCACCACAGCGTCGAATGGCTGCCATGCGTTGGCTTGTCTCAGATCCTTACGTGAGTTGTCACCGACCGCATTCCTGATACCAGCAGCCAGCATTGCTCGGATACTCTCAGTGTAGTTCAAGCCCGATATTCTAGGTGTGACAATACTCTTGGGCGACCAAACCTTGGAATGATCACTTACATTGAGTACAGTCTCTGCGAAATGTTGGTTTCTTGTCAATTCATACATATTGTATTCGTATGGTGTATACCCGCTCTTGAGGTAGATTGGCTCATCCTTGACACCGTAGTCGCAAGTCTGTGAAGTCCAGTCGAAACAGCTGTCGAACTCCTGAGCGGCCAGTTCTTGTGTATCCTCTGTGCAGTTGGAATATAGACAGTACATGTCAATGTGATTCCATGTGTGAGTCACCCACAGGAAATCATCAAATAGATCGAAGCTCGCCTGATTCAAGTTGGGCGCGTACGCTTCAACCTTGCCGAATTCGCCCTCTCCGCGTCCATTGAATGCCATTTGTATGGTGAAATTGGAACCGGTGCCAAACTGGTGGTTGATCCTTTGTTGGAATGTCTTGTGGTGCTCGAGATCCTCGCCAGTGATTCTGTACGTCATGGGTGGTGTAGTCTCACCGCCCTTGGCCTGTCGATTGAGAGTTGTGTTGTACACTCCGGTGTCAAGGTAGTAGTCATCGATGTCCGCCTGTAGGATGATCTGGCGGTGTCCTAAAAATAGACCACGTGTGACCCATGGGAACCACATGTGTCCGAAGGTAAAGCCGTGCAAACCGTTCTTGTCCGAGTTGAAGTGGAAATGAAGCGTCTCTCGCTTCGTTGTGGGATGTGTAATCAATGAAACGCCCACACTCTTACAGGCAGAACCATCAGGGCATGTGTAGTCTACCTCCATTAGGGGTTCGATGTGCCTGTCAGTGTTGGCTGTGTGTTCAATCCTCGCAGGCGTCAACCAGTACGCCTCGGTCGGGGATAGGCTGATCTCGCCACCAATTTTGAAAGTAGCATGCTCCTTGAGGATGTTGTGCATAGAGGCGGACAATTCGCCCGGTACAAACTTGAGTGTGGCCGTGCCCTGATGACTAACACCGGCTCCATTTAACGCACTCTGGAGGCCCTCATCAGCAATATCTATTGGATCGGTTCTCATGGACACTGTGCGCACACCGTAGTCTGTACAGTATGTGTCTATTTCTTCCTCTAGCTCTGCTGATAGCCCTCGTTGTTGAAAAGTTTTACTGAAGTCCTCTGGCGAGTAGTAGAAATAGCCAAGTACGGCCGATGTAAGGATGATCGAATTGTATTTAGGTTGGTCTGTATTACTGTCCATGAGTTCTAGACTAAACAATGTGTTGAGAGTGTAATTGGTTTTTTGTTGCCCACATTCTGTATGATTGAACTGTTCTGAGCATGCGGGGATTGTGATTGTGCTACCTGTTGTTAGTTCTTTGATATCGTAGTCCACGCCATATGAATCAAGTACCCATTTTGGTAACTCCTCAGTGGTGTTTGTACCGGCTGAAAGGATAAGTGTTTTTGCACCGATTGTGAAGTCTGTTTGTGTCTGCGCTAAGACAGGGCTTAGAAGACCCAAGGTCAGTACTATTGATTTATGCATTTTTTTGTATTTGTACTGTATTCGTACCTGTATGTATGTTATGCTTTACCTGCTTGTCACTTACCTTTATACGCGAGCGAGAATTTGAAACTTTTGCAATTCTCTTCACCACGCTCATATTTTCAGCATGTATTCGAGTACCTCAAAACACAATAATAAAATTATAACAAGACTCTAGCAACCGGAGCATATGCGTGGATCTACAGCTTGCTATCCAATCGAAAGACGTTTCTGACAAAATATATCTTTGCTATCATATTTTTACTTGGTTTTCTAGAATTCAAGCAACGAAATCCATAGCACATCTCATTCTTGATGACGTTTTCACGATTTTACAGTACGTATTCAGTATTGGTGTGCATTTCACCATCGGAAACTAAATACGTCACAGAATGAAACGATGATTGGTCAAAAAAAATATTTCAAAACAATCTTTGGATCAACAGCTCCAATTGGTGAACTTTATAATAGATCTACGGGCTCCAAATTTTGTCACAGCCTGGCTTTGGGCCGGTGGGGCCTCTAGGGGCTCGGGCCCTGGGGCCGGGGCCTGGGCGGCTGGGACTGAGCCGATTCATCATCAGTACTTTATTCACTACTCGGTACCACACAGGTTAAAATTTAAGAATTGACCTTGCCCCTTTTAAAGCCCATAGGTTTGTCCTCTGTATAGTGTTCACAGTAAATATACAACTATGCGCTACACATAGTGTACTGAAATAGGGGCACATAAGCAAACAACGAATGAGGCTGCTTGAGGCAGGATCTTTGATGTGAATAACGATATTCAATTGGTCACGAAATGCTCAATTTTCACTATGTATATGATTTCAGATTTAGACCGTATACATAGCCTGTGATCATTCATATGTTGATATGTACATATACGCTGACGCCTGACAGACCAGTGGTTCACAGAAGCTACCTGCTAAAATTTAAAAAAAAAATAATATGTATATACAGGTATTGAATTTTGATCCATAGTGCATATCCGAAATTTTAAGATTGGTTAATCTGGAGAGGTGTTGACGATTAGAAACGACACCTCAGTTAATTTTATTCTTTAATCATTGAATACGCTATTGAACTTCTTGAGACGCTGTTTAAAGCAATGGTTAAAATGTTAAACTTTGCTCCGAATGTTCTGATACCATTGTCGACAGGAGTGATCAGTTTAATATTTTTGACAAGCCTGTAACAATACTTATCTTTACGCTGACGCCTGACAGTGGTTCACAAAATTTACCTGCTAGTAATTAAAAATATACATGTTTTGAACCATGGGATATCCGAGATTTCAATATTAGTTATTCTGGAGAGGTGTTGACAAATCGGAACAACTCCTCTGTAATATTCTTCTTTCATTGAGTACGCTACTGAGCGTTTTGAGACGCTGTCTATAGCAAGGTTTGAAATGCTAAACTTAGCTCCGAATGTTCTGATACCATTGTCGACAGCAGTGATCAGTTCAATGATTTGGCACTCGATGAGAGTATACAGAGATACGTGTTTATTCAACACAATTGCAACACCTGGCATATCCGTCTCCTTGTATACAGAAACAGTATAATTCATCAATTGTGCATAATGAACTAGAGGTGCGCCACTATTGCCTTTGACTTGATACTTTGGAACTGTCAAGTAAGATGAAGAAAACATTTTGCTATGTTACGACTAATTACTACAATCTTCGGCGTTGAAAAACTGCCTGACGGACGCTGCGCGTAAAGCTATTAGCGAACAAGTTATTCGACGATACGATGCACAATATAACAACTTGAGAAATGAATATGTTAAACCATATACAATTTATCAATAAGATTTATCCAAAAGTGTATTATATACAATACGAGATATATATATATATTTATATTTATATATATATATATATATATATATATATATATATATATATAAGTA